TAAAGTACAAATTTAATAAAGTTACAAATTTTTTTGCAAAAACTCACTTGTTTTAAATCGCAAAATATAATAATTTTTTTAATATGAAATTTCTTGAATTTTAATACAAAAAAGTATGAATATTCTTTCTATAAACATTAAAGTTAATCCATGAGTTTTTTCAGAATTTTAGCATAAATATTTTAAAAGATACAGCTGTTTGAAAATTGCCATGGGTGGCAACCACCTAGTGTAAATGCGAAGGTTGAAAAAATAAGTGTATATACGAAAGTGTATACGAAATTTAAATATTAAAAAACAAAACATTCTTTCAAACGTTAAAAAACGTTATTTTAATGAAAAAAGAGAACTTATCTCATTATTTAAAAAATGTCTTTTTAAACGTTTTTAAATGTTTTTTAAAATATTGTTTGCTCATTGAGTAACAAAAATAACTAGTAAATATATAAAAAATATTATATTATATTCGTAATATTTTTTAAATATTGCGGTAATATTGCTAAAGTAATATTTCAAATTAATGTCACTGCAATGTCTCTGCAACATTACATTGCAATAGCAGTGCATTACGTTGCAAAATTGCAACGTTATTATTATATGAAAATATATCTATAAGAATAGCAAACCCATACAACACAGAAAGTTGAAACAACGTTGTGAGAATGTTGCAATGTTGAATGTTAAAATGTAATGTTCGCAATGTTGAATATACATTGATTTTTCTATACTGAATTCTTAATTCCCTTATAGAAATATCATACTAAGAATCATTGATAATTACTTATTATCCAGTATTTTTAATACTGAAAATAAATAATTATCAATGATTCTTAGTATGATATTTCTATAAGAGTTGAATATTCTTTTTGTCACAACATTGAAATAACATTGAACAAATTAGTATTTATTGAAAGTCAAATAAAGATATACAGTGTTGTGGATCGGAAGCGGATGCCAATGAGCAAACAATATTTAAAAAAACATTTAATAAATATTTGAAACACATTTTTAAAACGTTAAAAATAATGGGATAAGTTCTCTTTTCTCATTAAAATAACGTTTTTTAATGTTTAGAAGAATGTTTTGTTTTTTAATAAACATTTATTTTAACATTTAGGAAACGTTTTTCTAAATGTTAACATTTAACATTTAAAAAATATTGTTATAATTAATGCTTCAGCTGCATATGGGGATAATAAAACACACTTAGTATCAGTTGAAGAAATAGCGCAGTAGCCAAGTTGGTAGGAACCTGGAGATGTGTGAGGTTTCGAGTTCGCGTCCGACAAGTACTGAGTAAATTTTCGGTTGCGAAAATAGTGAGAAATCAAATAAAAGAGCTAAATTTCATTTAAAATCAACATAAGCTGACTAATTGTAATTGTTTCTGCAAGAAATATTTTTTAACCAGTGTCATATATCATTGTTACATCATTTTATGCAAAAAATGTCATCATTAAAAGATAATACATATGATGTCTCTAATCTGTGACTTAGGACCGCCAAAAAGACGTCATTATTTGGTTAACTTGAAGGATAAATGACATAATAGATAACGTAAAATTCACATCATTATCACGTCTGTCTGCTAATTGGAATGTTTTTTGAATGTTGAATTGCAAAGTTTTATAGACATTTATAAGATATTGCAATTCAGCGGACATTAGATGTTTTTATAATGTTTCTTCAACGTTGAATTTATATTTTGCAATGTTAATACAACATTTCAATGTTGAAATTAAACATTTATAAGATATGGATTCAACGTTTCTGTGTTGTATGGGAACTTATCTTTTTATTCGAAAAAGAAATTCGTCTATAATATGGTAAATTAAACGTTATCATAATGTCATTTTGCAAAGTCATTTTGACGTCTTAAAACATGACGTTAAATACACGTCTTTAAAGGATAAATGACGTTACTGACTAATAATGACGACATATTGACGTCAAAATAACGACAGCTTGCTGCCTAGGACCTAAACTTCTTTTGGTAATAACTTTCTAATAAACAATGACCGACCGAAATTTACCGAATGTTACTTACGGACATGCTCTGGATATCATATGTAGTTAAGTTAAGATCATCATATGTGGCGAGGTGTCCCTCAATATGCATAATTACTCTGATATAATCCTCAAATATTGTTTTATTAACAACTTTTTAATAAACAAAGACCGACGGCTAAAACTTTTTAAACGTTACTTTAAATGTTACTTTTTGTTAGGTTTGTGCACTTGATAATGTATATGAAAGTGAAGGTCATTAGTGAAATGCGTGTTAATGTAAATAAAACTACCATTTTTTTAAATAAATTTTAGTGCTTTATGAGCTCGTTTAAATATGGTATTAGACAATATATGTTAGTAGATTATATGTATGAATGTTTATGACAGTATTAAATAAAAAAAACCAGAGAACCTATTTTGTTAACTATTAAATATAAGATACATATATATATATATATATATATATATATATATATATATATATATATATATATATATATATTAGGGAATTAATAGAAAAATATAGTAATTCTAAAATTTAGATATAGTTTTTAGACCAAATAGTTTGTATTTAGATGAAGTTTTCCAAATGAATAGTCATTAGATCGGTTGTTAGTTTTATTTTGGTATATGAAATTATAATGCTTCATAGTTATCATACATGCTTCAAGTATATTGAGAAGATACAGTCGAGGACAAGTACTTATCTTGCGTTATTGTCATGTGTGTTGCCTTACATCGATTTTATTTGATTAATTTGTACCTGTTTCTCGCATATTGCATATTACGAAATTTTATCCCAAATGTTCTTAAGATATATCTTCCTTATACTAATTATTTTATATATAATTGAACATATTATTTTCTATATTTAGTTATATATGTACATTTTTAAAATTACAAAAAATATGAAATATGAAAAAAATAATAAATAAAATATGAAAAATATGAAAATATGAAAAAAAGATTAAAAACTTGTTTAACTTAAAGTCAGAAAAATCTGTCTGGTGTATTTCTTTTTTATCTAAAAGAAACTTATTTACAAAATTTGAACTAAATTGGAACATGGCTGTTTTCGGAACAACAACAAAAATATTAAATATGTTTAAAAAAGTTTCTGAATCACCAAAAATTCTTCTGGTATATTTCTTCTTTTATTAATAAATTTTGCTAATACAAAAGTATCTTAATATATATTGTATAAATTTCTATGATTATAGAATAATATAAATTGTTAAATACAAATGATTTGTATAATGCTGTTTTTTTTATATCTTTCTTATGTGAATAACTTATGTATATTTTTATCATATTATATTGAAAACATTTGATAATATTAGCTGAACTTACCACTGTAGCCTGTTTTTTAGTTCTACTCCAATAATCCATTTATCATGAAGGACACATTGCCACTGACGGATTATTTCTAAGCTTTTTTCTATGTTATTAGTTTTGTGATCATATTTCCTTTTTATAATAGGTTCACCTTCAATAGTATATAACTGTAACATTAAGTTAGCAAAACTTAAAATATATCTAGATTAAATATATAACAGACTTAAATTGATAAATTTGATATAACTTAATATCATATATTTCTATTTTTACAGTACAAATACAAAACAAATAGACTTAAGGCTCCTGGGGAGTCGCATCATCCATCTCTTTTTAATGACGTCAGAAGCGAGAAAACGCATGCTAAAAATTCCTGCAAAATACGTCGAGATAAACAGATATATCCACAAAACGACATTTGCGATCGATTAAGTACACCTCTAAAATACTCCGTACACTTTCCTTTTGTTCTAACAATCAACAGATAATTATAAAATAAATGTGACGTGCAATCGTCTTTTCTAACCTAATTTCCTCATTATCTTGTCATATTAATTTTCCGATTATCTATTGATTTTTAGAACAAAAGGAAAGTGTACGGAGTATTTTAGAGGTGTACTTAATCGATCGCAAATGTCGTTTTGTGGATATATCTGTTTATCTCGACGTATTTTGCAGGAATTTTTAGCATGCGTTTTCTCGCTTCTGACGTCATTAAAAAGAGATGGATGATGCGACTCCCCAAGAGCCTTAAATTGATAAATTTGATATAACTTAATATCATATATTTCTATTTTTACAGTACAAATACAAAGAATTCAAATTATTACTTATTAACTCTTAGCTCATAGATATATAATTGTATGCATGATTATCATAATGTGTGACAGAAATATAAGATTTCTTAATTTTGTAAACCCTGATAATAAAAAAATATGTATACAAGCATAATTTTGATAATATATATTTATATAGAGACATAAGTTGTAGAGATAATTGTTATAAGGAATAGTCTTGTGTTATGACAGATTTTTAACTTTGAAACTGTTACCTTTCAATATAGCATATACAATTTTACTTGTAATGTTGGAATACTATTTCTACTTTCTTATTATAAACATAAAATGCATACATAAGTATGTATGAACTTTTTGAAATTGATAAAAAAATTTTATACAATTATTCTTTATCATTCTTTGAAAAAAGTAAAATGACAATTCTAACCGTTATATTTTAATTGTAAATACTATATACAAAGCATATAATGCTACTAAACATCAATATAACTAATGAGTGAGAATAAACATTTTCCTGTATTTTTATATAAATTAAATGAACTAAAATTCAGCATAAATTAAATAAAGAATTATAAGTAAAATTAACTTACGTCACTGTCAATGTCCAAATTAACATCTTGGCCATATAATACACGGCGTTGTAAAACATTCAAAATGTGTCCAGTAGTTGCTTTTACTTCTTCGATATTGTTAGTTGTTGTTTCAATTCTGTTCTGAACATTGACTAATTGCTTCGTCAAATATTTCTCAATAGGATTTGATGATTGCACGAATGCTGAAGGTGAACCTGATATTTCTTCGTCACTAATAGCAAACAAATCCTCATCACAAGAGTTCATTATGTTAGATTTCACTAAGCTGAAATTGATGAGAACAGCATAGAATTGTGTTGGTGCAATAATATAGACATGAGAGAGAGTATATGTTGCTAATATTTTTCAACTTTATAATTCATCATATAATGATTGTGATCAGATTTTATATATTATATAAATATATGAGTTTTATATATATAATTATATTATATATTAATAATATAAATAGATACATATGTCTATGTTATATATATATTTGTATTATATATAATTATATATAACACATAATTTATAGAAAAATATAAAAATACATGTATAATACATCCAATAAATACTTTACAATATTTTTATTTATATTACGTACACTATATTATCTTACTTATATTACTTATACATACATTATACTAATATTATATTTATTTTTTCTCGATAATTTACCGTGCCTTTACCTTTCTTCGTGGATATTTATAATTATGCGACATATAAAATTTTTATAAATAAATATAAAACTTTCATCTGCATTCTTAGAAAATAAATTTCTTTTCTGTCTTATCAAATAGCTCCAAAGAAAACTCTCTCTACTTGCCTTTAGCCCTTAAGAGCTTTTGGCTTTTTGCCATTTACTAAGTAAAAAAAACTTAATCTAATAATATGAGGGTGATCCTCGGAAAACACGTTGAAGCACGTTACAAAAAAATTTACGGTTCAAACGAATACGTCTTAACGTAACGTCGTAAGGAACTTGAAAACTGTAAACATACTCGGAGTTGACATCGGCTGCGTTCAGAAAACAATAGTTTAGTCTGTTCTTTTTAGATGTTTAGCACACAGAACGCGGAAACGCTTACCGCACGACGGAAGTTGGTGCGACAGCCAATCAATATACAATATTCTGTAATAACCAGAGAGAAGCCTAATGGCTCCTGTACACAGGACGCGGTAATGATTGCCATGCGGCGGAAGTCCGCGCGACAGCCAATCAATATGTTGTTTTTCCGTAAGAGCTAGAAGGTTATTACGGAAAGCAGCATATTGATTGGCTGTCGCACGAACTTCCGCCGCGCAGCAAGTATTACCGCGTCCTGTGTGCAGGATCCATAAGCGTCATAATCGTAGACGTAAAATAAGGCAGAGAAAAACGTAAACGGAAGGCTAGTGGCACACAAAAAAACTTAAGCAGTAAAACGTAAGCAGTAAGCAAATTGACCAATCACAGTCATTGATTCTTCTTACGGTCCAAGAATCAACGACTGTAATTGATCAATTTGCTTACTGCTTACATTTTACTGCTTAAGTTTTTCTGTGTGCCACGGCCCTAATAGCTAAAGCGTCTTCTACAATGGCAGTAGGAGTAGTAGTAAGAAATAAGCAGTAAGCAAATTGACCAATTCCATTCTCACGTTTCAAAAATAATCGATTGTGATTGGTCTATTTACTTACTGCTTATTTCTTACTACTACTCCTACTGCCATTGTAGAAGACGCTTAAGAGCTTTCATGATTTACGTTTTTTTTTTGCCTTATTTTACGCCTACGACTACGACGCTTACTTACGTCTCGTTCTTTGTGTTAAGGACGCCGCACACGAATTGACATAAGAGTAACGTAATGGCTCCTGCACACAGGACACGGTAATGCTGCTTCCGCGCGGCAGAATTTCGCGCGACAGCCAATTAATGTACTGCTTTCCGTAATAACCTTCTAGCTCTTATGAAAAAATAACATATTGATTGGCTGTCGCGCGGACTTCCGCCGCGCTGCATTATCGCGTCCTGTGTGCAGGAGCCATAAGATATAACGTAAGAATTGACCAATTATGTTGAGAATCGTCGAATTGTAAGGTCGCCATTTTTGTGAATACTCGATCGTAATTGGTCAATTCTTACGTTACGTCTTACGGTTACTGTTACGGAAAGTGTGTGTGGCCAGCTTAAGCGTAACAGTAAGAAAATTGACCAATCACAGTCGTTGATTCTTGGACCGTAAAGGTGCCAATACATGGGAGCGTTCCAGCGTTGAGCGTTAAAGCGTTAGCCAATCAACGTATCAGGTCCCAGAAGTATACCGTAAGAAAAATCAATGACTGTAATTGGTCAATTTGCTTACTGCTTTCAGTAAGCAAATTGACCAATTACAGTCATTGATTTTTCTTACGGTATCTTTACATGGGAGCATCGAGCATCGAGCGTTAAAGCGATAGCCAATCAACGTGCCATTTTCTGCAAGAACTACAAGTATACTTCTGGGACCTGATACGTTGATTGGCTAACGCTTTAACGCTCAACGCTGGAACGCTCCCATGTATTGGCACCTTTACGGTCCAAGAATCAACGACTGTGATTGGTCAATTTTCTTACTGTTACGCTTAAGCTGGCCACACACACTTTCCGTAACAGTAACCGTAAGACGTAACGTAAGAATTGACCAATTACGATCGAGTATTCACAAAAATGGCGACCTTACAATTCGACGATTCTCAACATAATTGGTCAATTCTTACGTTATATCTTATGGCTCCTGCACACAGGACGCGATAATGCAGCGCGGCGGAAGTCCGCGCGACAGCCAATCAATATGTTATTTTTTCATAAGAGCTAGAAGGTTATTACGGAAAGCAGTACATTAATTGGCTGTCGCGCGAAATTCTGCCGCGCGGAAGCAGCATTACCGTGTCCTGTGTGCAGGAGCCATTACGTTACTCTTATGTCAATTCGTGTGCGGCGTCCTTAACACAAAGAACGAGACGTAAGTAAGCGTCGTAGTCGTAGGCGTAAAATAAGGCAAAAAAAAGTTTTTCTATGTGCCACCAGCTTAAGGCCTGTTCTACAATACGTCGTATGTCATTGTCGGACATCGGAACACAGTCGATGAGCCAATCAAAGGATTTGTTTTTCGAGACGAGTTCTCCTGATTGGACTATTAATTGCGTTCCGACATCCGACTACGACATACGACGTATTGTAGAACAGGCCTAAGGGACGTCGCACACGAATTTCCGTAACTGTGATGTAACGTAAAACGTAACGTAAGAAACAGCCAATAAATAGCGTATAAAACAATCGAACCAATCGTAAAGCGTCCGTAAAGAGAGTAAGATTACAATCATTAACAGTAACCTTAGATACAATTCCACCAATCGTGAATGACTTTTAGATTGAAAATATATGTATTCATTAGAAATTTTCGCAAGATATCGTATGTTTGTTCTTTTTCTCTGCACTGCTAGTTCGTTTGTTTTTTTAATTGCACTACTGAACTAGTGCAATAAATAGGAGCGAAACAAATATATACAAATATATAAGAAATTATTATAATTCAAGGTAGTCTCGTGCAAAAGCGTTTTGAAATCGGTGCAGCCAAAAAGATATAAAGTATCGGCGAAAATATGTGATTTAACAGGTACGAGGTTATCTTAAAATAAATAATAAGTTGATAACTTAAATATTTATAAAAATATATTTATTTCTAATAAAATATTTGTTGAACAAAGGTAAGATTTTAATATAATGAAGAAGTTAACCTATATATTTGTAACTTTGGCAATTATTTAATTTAGCCTCCTCACCTCTGATTTCATTGAAAATATTCTTAATCAATTCGTTTTTTAATTATAAACATCTTTTTTATTACGAAAAATCGTCGCTCTATTAAACGAAACGAGATATAATCGTTACAATTCTCGAATATGACAGGTTAGAAAACCTGTCATAATGACACTAGCAGAGAGAAGAAAGTGAGGGGTCATGGGCCGGTTTTAGCTGATCCCAATTTCAGCTGAATGGTTACAGCGCCTCTAATCAACCGTGCACATAAACTACGTAGCCAATGTCATGAATTGTCTCAGTGGGTAAAGAAGTAATGTCCACGATACTTGACGTTAGTTAGATAAAGACAGATAATCAACATTATCTGTTCTTGTCTCACCACAGACGAGAAACAATCGCAACGGTAGACACAGAGGCGAGTTAGCGGCGATTTTATCGTTAAAGAAACATCTCGCTTAGCTGTTGCTTACAATACTTGTAATTCCGGAAGAATTTTCAGGTTTACGTTTTGTGGTCATCCTTTATAGAAATATTATACTAAGAATCATTGATAATTACTTATTTTCAGTATTAAAAATACTGGATAATAACCCAACAAACACATATATATATAACAGTTACATTGCCGTAATGAAACGGAATGTAACATGCAATATAACTTGTATATAGTAGGTTATATAGACGTTCGTTGTAATTTCCTACTCACACGTGTTACAGTTATATAACGTGAATATAACATAAAAGTAACATGTGACTAAAAAGTTATATAAGAGTTATATGTTATTTGTTAGCACATTACACATTATATTTTTTTGTTGAATTCCAACGATTTATTCATTAGTATGGTTTAAATAAGTGATAATGTATGATTATTTTGTCTAAATAATAAAAAAAAACTGACATTTCATATTCCGTATTATTTCAATTATTTGTGAAACTCGCGTGGATTCGATCCTATGTCAGGCGGCACCCCCATCATGTTGTTCAATGCTTAACTTCAACGATCGTCCGGGAACTGGTGATACCGATGCGCCGTAACAATATCTTGATAGATAATATTTACAATATATTCTTATATCGTTCAAAAAATGTTATGACATATTTGTTGGTAAATGTTCGACACGACAATCACAATGCGATTAATATTGATACAATGTTGTATCAGTAATCAAATTTTAA